CACACACACACACACACACACACACACACGTCCTTTCTCTTTTTTTCAACTCTATCTCTTTCTCTTTACTTTTTCCTTGATTTTTTTTTCACACCACCATCTCACTCCCTTCGTGCGTACACGTTTTCATACAGTGCAATCCAAGTCAGCTATTGCTGATGATAATGTTTAGGCTAAACCTCTGATTTGCGTCTGCATTAGGCCTAGGGGTATAATAAATCGTGCTTCAAGAGAGCGTACTGGCCAAGCTAATCTGTGATACTAATTTATCAGGCTGGTTTTTTTTTCCTCAGTCTCTCTTTCAACCATTTACATCATCATTTAGTATAGATCTAGGTTTATAATTCAACACTTTCTTTGACATAATGCATGTTTTGCATGACACAGAATATTTTTTGTTTGTTTGTTTTAGCATTACATCGCATCGGCATTTCTATCGTTTTTTTATGTTCTTGTATAAACAACTATTGTAATCAGTTCAGTTTGCCATGATTGTGATAATTACATTACGCCAAAGAGCTCATTTCATGTGTGAAATTCGCTCAATAAAGTCTGGACCTTTCAGCAGTCAAATATTGTTGTTGATTTTGTTGTTCCTATGTTATAGGCAAGCGGCTATTTGTAATACCAATAAACCACAAAGATTATAATCAGTAATACTTTCTTTTGATGTGAAGCGAAGGGTTACGTTGTAACATGCAAGAGACACTCGCCCAGCGAGTAAATCATCAGTCCTCCTTCTAATCAGAGAAAATACAGAGAGGGAGAGAAAGAGGGGGGAGAGACAGACAAATAGGGAGGGGGAGGGAGAGAAACAGAGAAACAGGAAGAGAGAGAGAGGGGTTGAGAGAGGAAGAGAGAAGAAAAGAAAAAGGCAGAAAGATAGGAGGCAGAAAGGAGAGACAGAAATAGAGACAGGAAAGGAGACAAGGTAAAAGTGTCAAAGAGAGATTAGAAAGGAGAGAGGAGACAGAAAGAGAGAAAAAGAGAGAGAAAGAGAGAGAAAGAGAGAGAGAAAAAGAGAGAGGGGGGGGGGGGAGACAATGTCGCTACAATGTCACCTAACTGTCCTTGTGGATTTAATGAGTCCGAACAAAAAAGACCTTCAATTGGCCAAGAAAAATGGAAACGCTAACAATGGACGGTTGCTACAGAAACGTTTCAAAGTATCTTTGTACCGAGTATAAAATGTCAGGTAAAGGCAAACTAGGCTGGAGTAGACCCAGAGCAACTTGCTTGGAAAAGCTGAGCAGATGGGTGCGAGTGGAAAGACCAGGATAACATAGTTTGTTTTGGTTGTTTTTTATCGTTTATTTGGACAATTCGAGCAAAGAAATGAATGGCGAACCATGATTCCCCGTGTCTGCTTCCGAACTGGCATTTTATTATAAGGACAAAAGCCGTGGAGAAGAAATCTTGATACCTTTATGGGAATTTGTAGTGAAGGTACAAGGGCAAGACATGCGTTCGATTCATGCAAGATATTGACGAGTGTAATAATGTTTCTCCCAGGCTGGCTGTGACAAGCAGAGCCGAAGCAACCGTTTCCTAATTTATCTAATTATAATTTCTGTACTCAGAGTCGTGAAACATTGGCAATCATTATATTGTGATAATCATTGACTTTGCAGTAGTCAAAACTTAACAAGCGTAGCAAACAATGACAATTGCCATATTATGGTGACCACTTTTTTGGTACATGGCATCCTGTCTTCAGATTGTTGTAGCAGAATTAGTCAAAAGAACTGTGGATATTGGCATAAACAGGACTAAGAACAGGACCGCTTTTGTACCTATAGGAGCACCGCCGAACCATCGGTTCCTCTTGCAGTGACGAGCTGTTCAGCTCAAATGTATTTTATGGCGTCAAAATCCATTAATAAGAGGATTTTAGTTTGATCAAATACTGAATAAATCTATTCTCTAGCTGTTTGTAATAACCAG